GATAATCAACTGTTAATAGACCCCAATAGGGTCTTTATAACGATGGCTTACGGCCCTCTTCTGCTGTGCTCATGACCACCTCCAGAATGAAATACTCATGCCTGTAAGATTATAAAACACCCATTAATAATGTATTCATCCTTTCTGTGCTGTCGATGTGCCTTTAGCAGACAGTGTGAGCGACCGGGTGGAGCTGAGGACAAAGCGGATATAGTTCTGGGGTTTTTTCTCCTCCCCGGGGCTATTCTGATTATTAGCCTGTGAAACGCTTTCCCGGGCAGAGCTCGGCACAGGACTGCATGGAGCACGTGCTGCACGGCCCGCTCCCCTCCTGCCCTGCCTGCAGTCAGACTGAGCTGACCCCCGGAGGTCTTAACCCCCTCTGGCCTGTGGAGCAGAGTCCCACAGAACACTGGCTGGCACTTCGCCTCGAACCTGCTGGCTCCTCCTTGCTTCAGCTGCTGGAGTGCACTGAACAGCAGCTAAAAATATCACCCCCTTTCCTGAGGCTGTGCTCCAGTGGAAGCCTTTGAAAACAGCTCCGTTGGCACGGCCATGCAGTTGTGAATGGGATAGGAGGCGGGATGGCAGGAGCGGAAAAGAGCCGGCAGGACTCCCCTGCCTTTTCAGCTGTGACCCACCAAAAGTTAGAGCGCGCCTCCGTTAACGAACCCAGCGACAGTCTCAGAGGGGAGCTGTGTTAGCCCGTAACTGCAAAAATCACAAGTGGTCCTGCGGCACCTTAGAAACCAACCAAAATATATAAGAACAGCCCTACTGGGTCAGACCATAGGTCCATCTAGCCCAGTGTCTTGTCTGCCGACAGTGGCCAATAGGATGCCCCAGAGATAGGGAAACAACAGAGAATCATCTCCTGTCATCCATTTCCAGACAAACAGACACTAGGGACGCCATTGATGGACATAACCTCAGTGAATCTAGCTAGCTCTTTTTTGAACCGTGTTAAAGCCCTAGTCCTCACCTCATCCTCTGGCAAGGAGTTCCACGGGTTGACTGTGCTAAGTGGAGAAAAACTTCCTTTTGTTTGTTTTAAACCTGCTGCCTTTTCATTTCATTTGGTGACCCCTAGTTCTTGTAGTGTGGGAATAAGTAAATCACTTTTCCTTATTCACATTTTCCACTCCGGTCATGATTTTATAGAATCTTGAGCTTGTGTGGCCACCAGATGAACTGGAGACAGTGAAGTGTGAGCTGCCCGCTTCTGTTCCCTTCCCATTCTCTATATGTCTTCTCTAGTTTTGTGAACTCTTTGGGGATTGGGTATGTACAGCACCCGGCGCTCTGGGCCTGGTGAGCTCCGCTAGTCTTTAAGCCATGATTTGAGGTCTGCAGTAACTCAGCCAGAGGCTGGGGTCTATTTCAGGAGTGGGTGCGGTTCTGTGGCCTGCAACGTGCAGGAGCTTGGACAGGATGATCACGACGGTCCCTTCTGGTCTCAGTCTCTGAGGCGACTGTACTACAGACGAGAACAATGGGGCTGTGCACTGGGGTGGTGTTGATTGGTCACATAGGTCAGGTCCCGGATGTGACCATGATGGATGGCTGCAATGGCCCATTAGCGAGATTAATTTGCTGGCCTTAGGAGCCATTCCTCATGTTAATTGCTCTGACCTCGTGCACCATCCTGCCACCTTGACATCCAATCCGAGATGAGAGGGTGGGTGTGTGAGGGAGCTGACCCCACCACCGCAGCTCCTCTCCATGCACCGTGTTTCTCCCGGAGCAGAGGAACATGACCATTTCCAGCTAGGCTGCAATACTCAGTGTGGCATCTCCGGTCCAGCTGTGCGCCTGCTACGACGAGTGACTTCCCCCCCACCGCGAGCATTGGTGTCTCTCCAGCATCAGCCATAGCAGAGGTTGGCTATGGCAGCCAATTCCTTCCATTTATTCTAGCACCGAAGCAAAAGCTGGCGCTTTATCCTTTTGCAGCTGTGCCTGTATTACCCGACGGCGGGTTTCCCTTGTCTCTTGGATGAGACCCTCCCTGCTCCTGTCAACATCCTTTGACTCCACCCAGAAAAGATGCCAGCTCCCTAAATAATCCCTGTTCCCGTGACATGAAAGTAACAGCATTGCCGGATGACTGTCCCAAAACAAGGCACCTCTCTCCATGCACATCTCCCTGGCCAGGGGGGGCGGGGGGAGGGGGGAAAGGGAAGGAGAGAACAAACGAATGACAGATGTGTGGTTGTGTTACTTAAAGCACTACTGGAAGGGATCCAGTGAAGAGCACAATCTAAAAACCCAGAAGAGACCTCTGAATGGATGAGATTTTCAGTCTCCTTGTTTGCTGGGTAGCTTCTGAGGCTGCTTGTGGGTAGCTGGCTCTCTGTGTATGCCCTGTCTTTGAGTTATCCCTTTCAGCTCTCAGCAGCTATTTTGTGATTTCCTCTATGTTGGGGGCGGGGTGGGTCTCCATAGCCATGGGCATCCGGCAAGGATACTGTCTGCTCCCTTAAGATAAACAGGGCAGGGTCTTGGAGAGCATGACGGTAAGAGGCTTCTAAGAAAAAACTTTGCAAAATAAGAAGCGTTGGTGATTCTGTACATGACGCACTTCCTTCTGAGTCTCTGTCTCCAGCACGGGTTTGAAAGAGCCACCCGTCATTGTAAACTGGTAGCACGCTTCTTGTAAAAGATTTAAGACGGTTGATCATTGTTGTATTTGGTGTTTACATTTTGCTTACCAGAAAAGTCCCTCTTGTAGTGTCAGTTGGATGTGGTAGTCTTCACGTTCTGCTCTGGGCAAAAAAGTGTAATTTGCTGGTAAATGCATGGATATTAGGGATGTTAAATATCGGTTAATTGAGTCGTCGGTTAACCCCATGAATTCTGATTAGTTACTTGACTATTCTGTAGCCCTCAGGAGTGGGGCCGACAGCCAGTGCACTCCGGCTCCACTCCCGAGGAGCCCCCAGCCACTCCACGCTGCCGTCTCTGCCAGGTGGGAGCTGATCTGCGAGGGGAGCCAGTTTAAAAACCAGCTCCCCTTGTGGAATAGTGATAGAAATGTAGCCGTGTTAGTCTGGGGTAGTTGAAGCAAAATGCAGGACAATGTAGCACTTTAAAGACTAACAAGATGGTTTATTAGATGATGAGCTTTCGTGGGCCAGACCCACTTCCTCAGATCAAATAGTGGAAGAAAGTAGTCACAACCATATATACCAAAGGATACAATTAAAAAAAAGAACAAATATGAAAAGGACAAATCACATTGCAGAACAGAAGGAGGAGGCGGGGGGGTGGGAAGGGGGAGGAAGGAAGGTAAGTGTCTGTGAATTGCTGATATTAAAGGTAGGGAGAGTGGGATGTTTGTGAGTTAATGGTATTACAGGTGATAATTGGGGAAACTGTCTTGATAATGGGTGAGAAAGTTCAAAGACTTGTTAAGTCCCTGGTGGTAAGTGTCGAATTTTAACATGAATGACAGTTCAGAGGATTCCCTTTCAAGTGCAGATGTAAAAGGTCTTTGTAGCAGAATGCAGGTGGCTAAGTCATTTAGAGAGTGTCCTTTCTGGTTAAAGTGGCAAGAAACTGTTTTCTCTTTGTGATCTTGTCTGATATCTGTTTTGTGGGCATTAATCCTTTGGCGAAGTGTCTGAGATGTTTGTCCAATGTACATAGCAGACGGACACTTTCGGCACATGATAGCATAGATTATATTTCTGGATGCGCAGGAATATGTGTTCTTGATCTTATAACTCACTTGGTTAGGTCCAATAATGGTATCAGCAGAATGAATATGTGGACAAAGCTGGCAACGGGGTTTGTTGCAAGGGAAGGTACCAGGGTTGGTATTAGTGTGGTATGTCCTGTGGTGGTTGGTAAGAATCATCTTGAGGTTAGGTGGTTGTCTATAGGAGACTATGGGTCTGTCTCCCAGAGCCTCTTTGAGTATGGTAAATTTTCCTGGGAGGGGGGGGGGTGGGTGTGGGGGGGGAATGAGTGTAGTCTATAACATTAACCTATAAGCTTTTGCTTATCAATTATTCGGTTTTATCAATGACACTCTTACATCCCTAATGGGTATGTTCTGCTTCAGAGGTGGATGCATTTCAGTAGAAAGTAAGGTCATCACAGTTCAAAAGATATATACAAAGCCTGGTTTTCAACTGTAGGCCTCTAATTTAAGGCCTCCAGTTCCTCATTTGGGGTGTTCTGATTGATACTCTGGCTGTGAATGTGCTAGCGTGAGCCCCCAGATGTGAAACGGGATGAGCCAACTAAGGTACCAGTGTTCTAGAATCTGGTTCCCATTGTCTCACCACCATTCAGAGCCCCCAAGGTCTCCTGGGGGATTCCAGCCATTACTCAGTGGGCTTCAGAGATGAAATGTCTTCGGGCTAGAATTGGAAGTAATGTGATCACAGAGGCAGAAATAGGGTTGCACTAGCCATAGTTTTGCATGTTTTTTTATATGTGGCAGAATGTAGTGACTGCAGGGTCAGTTCGCTGTTTAGGTTGTTACATACCGCCCTTAGTTTTCTAGCGAATTCCTTTGGCTGTGGGTAGTTTGCGCTGCATGTGTGTGTACGCATGTGCTTGGCCGTGGGTAGTTTGAAATGTGTGTGTATGTGTGCATGTGCGCCTGTGCTTGACCGTGGGTACTTTGGGGTGGGTGTGTGTGTGTGTGTGTGTGTGTGTGCTTGCCCATGGGTAGTTTGCAGTGTGTGCGTGTGCACGTGTGTGCGCGTGCGTGTGTGCTTGCCCATGGGTAGTTTGCAGTGTGTGTGTGCATGTGCACCTGTGCTTGACCGTGGGTACTTTGTTCTGTGTGTGTGTGTGTGTGTGTGTGTGTGTGTGTGTGTGTGTGTGTGTGTGCGTGTGTGCGCGCGCTTGCCCATGGGTAGTTTGCAGTGTGTGTGTGTGTGTGTGCGCGCGTGTGCGCATGTGCTTGGCCGTGGGTAGTTTTCAGTTTGTGTGTAAAATTCATTGTCTGAACCGACATTAACCTTCCCTCTGATTTGCTTTTGCAGTTTGCTGGTCGGTGGAATGGGACAGTCATGAATGGGGATCCCCTTTGCCAAGAGTCTGCCTCCCAGCTTCCTGACTGGAGGGAATTCTGCGAGCTTCACGCCCAGGCCGCCGCGGTGGACTTTGCTCAAAAGTTCTGCCAGTTCCTGAAGGAGAACCCCCATTACGATACACCTGGGGCTGAAACCTCCTTCTCCCACCACTTCGCTGCCAATTTCTTGGACATCTTCAGCTTGGAGGTCAGCAGGGTGTTCGTATCTGACTCCCCAACCAAGTACAACATAGTGCCCTTTGTGGGGCTTCAGAACTGCCACATGCCTTACGGCCGAGACATCCTCCAGAGGAAAGAGGAGACCTCCACAGAATCCCTGGACAGTATGGACAACCCCATGAACTCTAGCAGATACCTGAGCCAGTCCCAGCAGACGCAGGCTCACAAAGTTTCTTCCTACGGCCACTCGCGGAGTTCAGAGGATGTCTCTGTCCACGCTGCTTCCAAGCCGAAATTCAAGAAAGGCTTCTCCTTGCGGAACATGAGCCTGTGTGTGGTGGATGGCATGAAGGAGATGTGGCACAGGAAGTCCTCCCCGGAGCCAGGCGTGGAGGCCACACAAGGCGGCAGGAGGTCAGAGAGAGAGCACTGCCCCTCAGCGGCCAAGGAGCACGACACGAGGGAGAGATGGACTCACAAGCTGCGGCTGTCGAAAGTCCAGTCCTCCAAGGTGGAGCTGGTGGATATCCAAAGGGAGGGCACCCTCCGCTACATGGTGGCGGACGACACGAACTGCGTGGGCAGCTCTCAGTGGCAGAAGTGCCGGCTGATGCTTAGGAAGGCCGTGAAGATGGAGGGGGAGCGGTTCCTGCTGGAGTTTTATGTTCCTCCCAAGGTAGGTCTGGTAGGTTTCTGAGCTGCCTGTCTGTGTTGGCTTGTGTGTGTGTGGACCTGTGACGCTTCTCGCCTCCAAGAGGCCCTACACCCTGCGACACGTCTGCATCGGTGCCGCAAATGGCCACAGCGGTTGTACAGCTCTCTGCTGGGCGGGTGTGCTGCTGGCAGGGGATGGCTGTTGCTCCTCTGTTGTTTCAGAGGGTCTCTCTTAAGCTTCCACCTCCTGGTCTTACTCCACTCGACGGCAGTGAAGCATAATTCAGGGGTTTTGTTATTTGTCTGTGCCTCGCTCTCCGCTAGGTTGCTGGCTGCTCAGGTTTCCTGATACCCGGCGCTCCTAGTTCCTGATCTATCTTCTAGGGCTTTGAGTGGATTTCAATAAAGATTTTTTTCTTTCCTCCAGCACCAATATGCCTCCTTCTAGAAGTGGTAGATCTACCTCCTATGAGTGGAAATGAAATTTAGTATCCACAATCCAGCCACCCCTGGCCTCTCCTCTCAGACAGAAAGCAAAAGGGCCAGCTGAGTAGGGAAACAAAGTTTTTTTTTTTTTTGAGCAAAAAAAAACACAACAAAAATTGGGACCAAAGTTGTTGAGCAAAAACAACTGCACCAAAAAAAAAAGAAGTAATGGCGCCTTTAAATGCATAACCCCATCCCCACCAGACGCAGCAGGGGAAGACTCTCCCAAGCAGCCTTCCGTCCGAGAAAAACAGAAAATGCCAGACGTTTTACGTGTCCGGTATTTTCTTTCTTTTTTTTTTTTTTTTTACCAGACAGAAGCCGCAAATACCGGACTGTCCGAGCCACTACCGGACACCTGAGTCAGAGACAGTAACTGAGACCCTCAACAAGCCTTTTATGACAGTGATGCTTCACATTGAATGGCAGGCCCCGGGGCAGTTGCCTCCTTCCCCCCTCCCGTGTTGCAGGTCTGCACCCTGGATCAGACACTGAGGGGGCCCTGTAACTTGCGCTCTTCTGTGTTACGTATTCCGCTCTCGATCCTCTTGGATCAGCCCAGTGGGCAGTCTGATAGGCAGGCAGGAGTTTGGGTAGACTCAGATCCCCATGTTTGCTGGCAGGAGAGTGAAGCCATTTGCAAAGCACCGGCGAAGTGCTGTCTAGTGCCTGTTAACCTGCAACCCGCAGGAACCTCCACAGGCACCGAGTAACTTTTCAGTTCTTTTGGGGAAACGAGACGTGGGGAAGTCCACGAAAGAGCCGGGAATTGACCTGAGGCGGGGTCTCCACATCTCTCTGCCCATTAGCTGAATGGCGAGGACCAGGACAGGCAAGATTTGGGGATAAGCCCCGGCCCTGCTTCCCAACCTGCGCGCCGGGGCAGAGTGAGGCAAACGCTGGGCCCTGGCCACAGCAGTGGGCGGACTGTGAGTGGGCCTGGATACAAAGTGGGCGGGCCACAACCCACTCAGGACCATCCGTGGCTGCACCCCAGCTGTGAAGCAGTGGGTAAGTCTGTAAAGTGCCGTCGCATCCTGTGGGTGAAAGGTCCTAAAGAAACGTAAGGTGATTAGCATCTGTAAGCCTGAATCTCTCTCTGGCATTGAGGCTTGCCGCTTGTCTTAAATCGCAGCTGGCAACTAATCCACATTAGAAATCAATAATTTTGTGGTGTGTGTGGGCTTAGGGTTTTTTTTCTTGGTAATTATGGATTTTTTTTCAGTTGAGTTTTACACAGCATATAGGTGCATATGCACGCGCGCGCACACACACACACACTCGCCCCCTTCTCTTTTTCTCTCTCCAATAACATTTCAATGAGAAAGTAGAAAGACTTCCGTGTCCTCTGTCAGGAGCTTTCTATCCCGTACTGTTCCTGTGTCCTCTTTCAGAACACACTTTCCCCAATGTTCTTCTCGGCTACTTTCCTTCCTGAACATTTATTTATTTCTTCCCTGTACCCTTTTCCTCCCATTAGGTCCTAAAGAAAGCTTCAGAAAAAGGTGCCAACAACTGTAGATTCATGTAGGCAATTTAATACCTACCTACCTGCACGTTCCCCTTTACCAGCAAATACCTGAGCACCCCTCAATCATGTGGCGGAGAGGTATTATCCCAGTCTTGTAGTTGGGGAAACTGAGACCCAGAGAGATGGAATGATCTCCATTATGGAATGGACTCAAATGATCTTTGTCATTACAATATCTGAACCCTTGTCTTGAAAGTGTGCAATCTCACAGCACCTCTGTATGGCAGGGATATGCTATTCTTTGCATTGCACAGATGGGGAAACTGAGCCATGGGAGAGGCTAAGTGACTTGACCAAGGTCACACAAGGCATATGGAAGTCCAGGGAAGAGCAGGGAATTGACCTTAGATCTCTCAAGTCTCCGGCTAGTTCCCTGGCTGCTGGACCACCCCTCATACACTGCATTTAAAATGAAGTTCTGACGTGTATAGAGACATTAATTTTACTTGGCATGTATGTTGCGCTTGGACCTTTTCAAATCCCCGTAGAAGCACTAAATAATGCTTCCAGGTAGATAAATTGCAGATGAGGTAGATATTACCAATTAAATCTTAAGTTATTAAATATAGACAACTAGAAGACTTACCTGGCATTGCCTGGGTCTGGGGCCGGCCCGCCAGCCGGCTTCTCCCCAGGGTGGGAGGGAAGGGGGCACGCAGGCTGCCCACTGGCTTTTTCCTGGGGCCAGCCTGGAGGAGGGAGGCACGCACCCTGTGGTCATTCGTGGCTATAACTGTCCCTGCTCTCACACTTCTCCCTTTCTGTCTGGTGTGAAACAATCACAGAATCCTAGGGTTGGCAGAAACCTCAGGGGGTCATTGAGTCCAACCCCCTGTTGAAACCAAGATTAATCCCAACTCAATGATCCCATCCAGGGCTGTGTCAAGCTGGGACTTAAAAACCTCTAAGGATGGAGATTCCACCCCCTCCCTAGGGAACCCATTCCAGTGCTTCCCCACTCTCCTAGGGAAATAGTTTTTCCTAATATCCAACCTTGACCTCCCCCACTGCAACTTGAGACCTTTGCTCCTCGTTCTGCCATCTGTCACCACTGAGAACAGCCTCTCTGGAACCCTCCTTCAGGTAGTTGAAAGCTGCTGTCAAATCCCCCCTTACCCTTCTCTTCTATAGACTAAATAAGTCCAAATCCCTCAGCCTCTCCTCGTAAGTCATGTGTTTCAACCCCCTAATCATGTTTGTTGCCCTCTGCTGGTCTTTCTCCAATGTGTCCACATCATTTCTGTAAGGGAGGGAGGGGAGCAGAATTGAACACAGTACTCCAGATATGGCCTCTCCAGTGCCAAATAAAGGGGAATAATCACTTCCCTAGACCTGCTGGCAATACTCCTATTAATGCACCCCAATATGCCATTAGCCTTCTTGCACTGTTGACTGACATCCAGCTTCCCATCCACTGTAATCCCCAGGTCCTTTTCTGTAGAACTGCTGCTTAGCCAGTCGGTCCCCAGCCTGTAGCAGTGTTTGCATGCACAACCCATTGTCTTAGCACAAACCCTGACCTTGCTTTTAATCCTAATAAGAGGAAGCTGCCTGCTAAATGTGATAGTCATTGCTCTTACCGTTTAGGAGCAGTTCTTGAGAAAACACACACACACACACACACACACACACACACACACACACACACACACACACACACACACACTAGATTTGTACCAATTGTGCTGTGTTTTTGTATTTTATTCATCTTCCATGGTGAAACTGGGCTAATCACGTTCAGAAGTGGTTTTCACAGCCTGGTCCTGCTACTCTTAAGTCCCTAATCCAAAACCTATCCAAGTCAGTGGCAATCTTCTATGGATCTGAAATGGACCCTTCAGATCAGGCCCTTACTCTTGTTATGCTTGTGCATACAACTCAGCAGAGGAATGTTTACATTCAATAAAAATAGGGCTGTGGGTGTGAGTGTGTGATAGAGAAATAAACACACTGTAGGAAGATAGTGGAGTCAAATATAAACTGTTCCTCACAGTGTATTAACCTGAAATTGAGCTGGAGGAAAAACACTCATGTACATACCAGATCAGAACAGATGGAAAATCCATTAGGGTGAAACCATTTATAGTGTCTGAATTCTGGGTGTCATCAAACAAGTGAAATATCTGGTTTCCATTCACTGTCTTCTACCCTTTCTAATATCCCCTAGAGAACTGGAGACGAGAGGCTTAGTTTGTTTATTTATTTAATTAATTTTAGCTACATTCTCCCCCCCCCCCTTCCTTTTTTTAAAAACTTCTGGAGTCTTTCTACTCCAGCTGTGAGGGCATTAAAAATGCACAGCTGGTGCTGGCTCATCTGGGAGCAGAGCTTGTGTGTGTGCCCAGCACTTGATATGGCTACAGGTTTATCTGGAGCAGTAACTGCTGCTAAGCAATATTATAGATGGTAATAGGTATTTTTTCAGGTTTGTTTTTATCTCCCTTTTTAAAAAGTCAGTGTTTTAAAAAAAAACCCTCTTTTTAAGTGCTTTTATGCAAATAATCTTGTCTTTTATTATTGTTACAACCTCCTGAAGTCTTTCACTTACGTTTCATTCCTAAATTATATCTATCTTCTTTATTGGGCAAAATTTACTGTATTATCATTTCTAACTCCCCCTTCAAGAGGCACTGGTGTGCCAACTTCGCTTTTGTGTATATCCATGGAAACTTTTGCTTCTGCACGTGCACAAGAACACACTGCTTTTGTTTTTGTGTAGGTCCTACAGAAATAGAGGCTAACTGGATTTTCATTTAAAAAAAGAAAAGAAAAGAAAAACCTCTCCAGTAGATATTGAACTTTTTAACAAAGTTCTGCGTGCGTATATTTCCCCAGAGAAACAGTGATAGAAAACATTAAGAGAAATTAAACGTGGTGCTTGAAGTACATGGTAGCAGCCCATCTCACCCTTTGGTGTTATACTAGCAGTTCTGAGTGTGATTCAAAGTTGCCTGCCCCCATTTATTCCTGTGATGAGTCTCTGAGCAAACTCTAAAACCACCGATCAAGTATGAGGCCCGATCCTGAAAGTGCTTATGCAGGGAGAAACTTTACTCTTCTGGGGAGTCCCATGGACCTGGGACTGCCCACACCTGGCAATGTTTTGAAGGGCTGAGATCTCTGTGGAGGCTTCCTCTGTTGGCTCTTTTGGCTGTGCTTCCTGAGAAGAGTCCCGAGAGAGTCTCTTCTTCCTTCCACCCCTCAGGGCTGGTGTCATATTTTCTTGCCTTTAAACAGCTGCTTCCTCTTTTCTGATTGGCCTCTGATTAAAAATAACACACAGCCCAGCGGCTTCTGCAAATTCAGGGTTTCAAACCAAGCATTGAGGACTGCTTGTGGGACCCACTGAATTGGTGCAGTGGCCCTTAGCTCTGTGGGTAGGGTTGCCAGATGGTTGAAACAAAAATACTGAAACCCCCCCCCCCCCCACAAACCACACTGGGAAAAATTCTGTTGAAGGGAAAAGAAAGGGGGGGAGGGGAGACCAAAGTTGTTGAGCAAAAGAAAAAAGGACTCCAAGGACTTATTAAACCAAAATATTTAAATTAAAACAGCATGTCCCCTTTAAGTGCAAGGATAGGAACAGGGGAGCGGTTGAGCACTAAGACCAAGCATTGCTTCCCCTAGTTCTTTTGGCTGACAGCCATTTTGTGCCAGCAGCCTTGGGGGACCTGGTAAGCATGGGGGCTGGGGTCAGGGAGCTGGGGGCCGGAGGGTAATCAGGGGGAGGCCAGGCGCTGAGTGTTTCTAGGGTTTCCAGGTGGCCGGCTGGCTGGGGAAAAATTCAGAAAATGCTGGACATTTTGGCTACGTCTACACTGGCCCCTTTTCCGGAAGGGGCATGTAAATTTCAGCAGTCGTCATAGGGAAATCCGCGGGGGATTTAAATATCCCCCGCGGCATTTAAATAAAAATGTCCGCCGCTTTGAAGTAGGAATAAGAGCCTATATGCTCCAGCGGGAAAGGGGCACTTTTTCCGGAGGATCGGGGCCAGTCTAGACGCTCTTTTCCGGCTTTTTTAAAAGCCGGAAAAAAGCGGCGGACATTTTTATTTAAATGCCGCGGGGGATATTTAAATCCTCCGCGGATTTCCCTACGACGACTGCTGAAATTTACATGCCCCTTCCGGAAAAGGGGCCAGTGTAGACGTAGCCTTTAGGTGTCCGGTATTCTCTGAATTTTTTTACCGGACAGGAGGCGAAAATACTGGACTGTCTGGGTGAATACCAGACACCTGGCAACCCTACCTGTGGGTGCTCAGCACCTTTAAAGAGCAGGTCCCTCGCTCGTTTGGAGATTTGCAGTGAAAGTCGATTTGCAGGTGTCCGGTATTAAACTGGACAGTTTGGTAGTTTCACTTCCTGTCTGGTAAAAAAATTCAGAAAATACCTGACACCTAAAATGTCTGGTACTTTCTGACTTTTTTCCCGGCCAGGAGGTGAAAATCTCAAAGTGTCGGGCTCAATACAGAGGCAACCTGGCAACCCTAGTGCTTACCGGGTTCCGCAGCGGAGCTGTCCAGCCCCGCGCAGGGAGGTAAGGTGGCAGGCAGTCGCTGGCAGCCTGTTAGGTTCAAAAAGCCTCACCACACGTTTCTTAAAGGGGTCACACTGGTTTTTTGGGGGTTTTTTTGTTTGTTTGTTTTGCTTAACAACTCCTGGGGTCCTTTTTTTCTTTCTTTCCCCCCCCCCCCCAGTATTTTTTCTGAAACCATCTGACAACCCTAAGTGAAAGTAACTTGGTCAGAAACTCTCACACTGAAAGTGAACACGCAACTCCCAGCCCCCGCCAAGTGAAATCTTTGGGGAAGGAAAAGGCACCTTTTGATTCCTGTTTCTTGACAACACTGATTTACACAATCAGAGCAGAGTCCTTTATTAGTAACTTGTGGCATTATGTGCATCACAAGTCGGTTAATAACACTGGGGGGGTCTGGAAGCACTTGGGATAACTCCAAGGTTTTCTGATGATTATGTTGCTTTCCTAGTCCTTATCTAGAGGCTTCCTTTGAATTCCAGTGCATAGCTTCAGCAAGGACTAGCCAGGCTGTCTGTCGAGTTGAGAGAAACTCTTTGATAATATAGGGACCAATTTTACTAGAAATCGGGAGACTGTTGCTCAAATGTGCTGCTAGGCAAGCTTTTACGAATAATCGGGTGACATTTGTATGGCACCTTTCATTCTGAAGAGTTGTGGACATTTAAGGCCTAATCCTATACACATTTGCTACCAGTTATAATGTTCAATAGTGCAAGTAGGGCCACTAGTTAATGGGAATAAGTACAGGTTGAACCTCTCTAGTCTGGCACCCTGGGGACTGGACCGGTGTTGAACCAGAGAATTTGCTGAACCACGGGAGGTCAATATTGTCTAGCAGCACTGCCAAAACTGACAGTGCTTGCTGAGCTCTGAGAAGACATTTAGGAGTAAATTGGAGCTAACTAACAGCACAGAACAGCAGGGCTGGTGGCTGTAAACTAACTTCATGGGGCTGCGGGAAACTTGGTGACTGCCACGATAAGTGGACATCTGGCTGGCTAACATCATACCGGACCATGGGTGTTGCCAGACCAGGGAGGTTCAACCTGTACTAGTGTTCGCAAGTGTTCACAAAGTCAGACTTGAGGCCCACTCCTGTACCACTGGGGGACTGGAAGCTTTGAGATAGATTTCAGTGGAAGCAAGATTGAATTGTCTTGCATACAGAACGAGGGAAATGCAACCTCCTCTAAGGTGAATGGCAACAACTCACTAGAACTCACCTCTGAGGGGAAAGTAGCTATTTAGGAGATGCAGGTAATTGAGGCACAGAATAGTTAAGTCATTTGTTCAAGGCCAGACCGCGTATCACCAGGAATAGAACCCAGGAGTCCTGATTGTAGTGTCTTCTCTTTACCATCTTACCTGCTCCTTCTCCCTATGAAAAAGGAGGCACCATAAATCTGGAGCTGAGCTACACAGCAGCTTATTTATGTTGCCCGTAAGTGTGCAAAGTGCTTGGTGGTATGTCTGTTACTATGGCTGCTGTGATGCATAGAGCCCATCCCATCACCCAGAGAGACACCCCAAAGAGCAGCATTTATGGCTCTGAAATTGCTTGTTCTTGCTGATCGGGCCTCCGGGGGCGGGGAAGGGAGGAGAAGGTTCATTTTGAAAGCATCTTCCAATGCTTAGTAAAGAGCCTCCTTCATGGAGGGACATAGGAAACTCTTCTCTGTCTACTGACACACAGCCACTTCTGGGGTGGGACACGTGAGCTGCCCAACAGCGCACAGGGACATTGCATTGCATGACGAGTTTCACCTCCCCGGGGAGCAGAATTTGCAAGATCAGCAAACGTGCAGCGTTGGCCCTTTAAGTTCTAGCCACACCAGAAGTATTTTACCTGCGTAGCATTCCAGCACAGCAACATGCAAAGCGCTCCTGCTGTAGAGCGGGCATATGGGGGGCTAACCCCCACTGTACAGGTAAGGACACAGAGGCATGGAGAGATTTGATCATGAAGTCTTTGGGGATGGGACTGTGCTGCCTGTTGTTTGGACATAGCTAAACATCTCTGGAATAGCCTCTCGTGTGCAGTCGATTGCCACGCAGTCACTCTCGCCCAGGCTTGGGCAGTCGGGCTTTGTTGAGCTGGGGTCTGCTGAGACGCGGGTGAGGAATGATGTGGCTCTGTCTACAAGAAGGATTTTTAGGAGCAGATCCCTCCTGGGGCTGCGGCCACTTGCGCTATTCCAGGGGCACCCTACGGCTGGAGCTGCTTCTTGGGGTAACTCCATTGACTGGAGTGGAGTCAGCTTACAGCAGTGGAAGGTCTCGTCCCTAACGCTGACAAGGCTTTGGCATGCTGGGTTGAATTGCCACAGCTGCATCCACACACACTCTGAGCCAGCGGCAACCCCAGTGGGAAATTTGATCATCAAAACTCCCTACAGTAGACAAAGTGGGATGAGTCTTTGTGATGTCGTGTTGGTACCTTGCTGGTGGCTAGGTTGGGCTGTGGGTGACCCCCACTGGCTGCTGTCTGTACCAGGGCTCAGCAGAGTAGCTGATGGGACAGGGAGGTGACCTGTTTGACCGGTTACCTCCCAGGGAGAGGAATAAAGGAAGGCAGGCGGAGTGCAGCCCCTGGCTGGGGGGCAGGGCTGGAAGTTGGGCAGTTTCTGTCTGGTATCATGGAGGGAGCAGCCTAAGCAAGGGGCAGGGATTTAGGGGCCCAGTCTCCCCCATCGCAAGGGGGCTGAGGCATCCTAGGCCTGCCCTGTAACCAGATTACCAATAACCTCCCCTGTTCTACTGGCTGGCGGAGTCTGTTCATGCCACTACAGGGGTGCAGGAGACGGGGAAACCCCAACGCACTGTCACAGTCTTCCCTTACCTATTGAAATGCCTCTCTCTCTTCTAGCTGAACTGTCACATCCCCGGCCAGCTGCCCTTTCCTGGCTCTCCCTCCCCTTGCCTTTCGTGCATGCTAAATATGTCCTCGATCAGATAGCATTATTTCTTCCCCCCGCGTCTTAATAAAGAGAGAGCGAGACTGAAAAAGAGAAGAGACGTTAATGTAGTTGGCGGAGCCGGCGTGTCAGCAGGCATTGTGAAATAAGCGAGTGGGCTGGCAGTGAAATACGCTAGCTCTCCTATCTTCCACCGGGGCGTCGCTTGGTTTAATTAAAAGATCTTGGAGTTATCAGGCACATGAGGGAAATCAATTTTTTTTTAACAGCTGCACAGATTGGAGCTGGGCTGTAATCGTCCATTGAGAGAACTTTTCTTCTGCAGGCTCTGTTCATGCTTTTTTTTTGTTTTGTTTTTGTTTCAGACTTCCAAACCGAAGGTCAGCATCCCGCTCTCAGCCATCATTGAGGTCCGGACGACCATGCCCTTGGAGATGCCGGACAAAGACAACACCTTTGTGCTGAAGGTAAGGCTGCTTGGTGAATAAGGCACTCTGGATGCTGTGAGACTCTCCTGAACCCACCAATGCTCTCTGCCCCACTCCCCAGGACTGCCCAGGTCAGCTGCCTGTGCCCTTCCCTCCCGTCACATGGTGAGGTGACTGAGGGAGGAAGGAGACTGCGTCCATGGCGTGTATGCAGACGGCTGGCATAATTAGCTGTGCACCACGTCACTGCCAGCTGTTGGCCTGCAAGTCCTGAAGATCCTTAGTACTTTGATCCACCCCGAACATACTGCACGCGGATGGTAGTAACAGTCTGCTGCCCTGTTGCATTTGTCTTCCCGTACCCCCTCCATCGCCCGCAGCATGGAAGGGGATGATGAATTGATAACAGTGCTGCACTATGGAGACTCTTAAGGGGTGTCTGCATGGCACACCAGCCCCTGGCCTGTGGGACTTGGGTCCGCACCTGAGTGTTCATGCTTCATTGTAAAGCTAGCTTTGCTTTAGGGATGTGAAAGTTTAACCATGTAGATGGTTAACCAATGAGTCTGGGCTCATCGGTTAACCTTCATGGTTACATGCAGGCTCCCTGTATGCATGGGGAGCTGCCATAAAAAGCCAGCTCTCCATACACACCAACTCCCAGGATGCTGCCTGCCCTCCCCCCCCCCCCACACTGCTGCCTCTGTATCCGAGGCAGCAGCGCAGGAAGGAAGTGGGGAGGCAGGAGCAGATACGTGCACAGCTATTTATTTAAATACATTCCAACAGCCCTAGTTTGCATTTGCTGGACTTGAGTCAGGCTTTCTGACTCAGGTCTGTGGCTTGAGCTGCATCCACAGTGCAAAATGGCCAGCCCTGGTTTCTGACTCTTTCCGTGTGCTGCCCACTGGCAGGATCAGAGGACCTGGTCGCTGAGTGCTTGCTGACCCGAGTCAGACTGACTTGTGTGTGTGGACAGAGGCAGGCCTTGGGCTCAAACCTGAGTCAGACTCCAGGCTTAGTGTACAGTGAAGCCCCAAGCCTTAGTGTACAGTGAGGTCTGTCCCGGAGGCAAGCCCTGCCCCTGCTGTGCTGACCCATGGTTTGGCAGCCTTCTCCAGCACTACATGGGAGGTAACTGGAGGCACTACTTAATCCAGGTCTACACTAGACCTGGAAGGTCGGATTAAGGTGCACAGCTCCAGCTACGTAAAACATGAGGCTGAAGTCGGCTTGCCTTAAGCTGAGCTTGGCGCCGTCTTCACAGAGGGAGGCTGACAGCAGCAAACACTCCTATTGACTTTCCTTTACTCCTCACGACTATACCGGCACTAACCAGAGCCACCTTCCACGTTCCATTTAGTAGGTCATCCCTCTAAATCGAATGCCAGAAGATCAATCTCTGGCATGGCAAGTGAACACGTTACCTTATTGAGCACTGTGAGGGCATGAGGAGTGGTTCGCGGGTGTCTTTTCAATAGAAGGTACTTCAGAGAGATGAGGCTTGGTGGTGATATTAAACCAGGATTCCCATCAGGGTGAAATTCAACTCCTTAGCCAAAGGGCGTCTGGTGTAGTACCAGACTTGTTTGAGCTGTCCTACTCTGAAAAAAGTATGATTCTCTCTCTCTGTCTGTCTCTCTCTCTCTCCGGCTTCTAGAGCAAATCTCAGTTTAAAAGGAAAATGCTGCATTTTCCCTGTGCACATCTCCTCTGTAAACTCAACCTGTGATCCATCAGTTAAGCTGGGCTTCCTGCCTTACCTGCAAGTTCCCAGCTGGCTCTGTGGTCACTGGAACTATAGCTATTACTAGCAGCTGGCATCTGGGTAACAATTCCTGTGATGATGTGTGAGTCAGAGTCGAATCCTACTTACGCCCTCTGAGTTGTGATGATTTGACAGAGCTAAGAGAATTGAATGTTTTACAGTGAAGCCTGCAGATTGGAGAGTACATATATAACGCATCTGTCCTGGCGCCATTCGCACACGGTTGCTCTTCTGTGTTGAACCGTACTTTACAATTCCCTAACAATTAACTAAGTGCTCCCCTTCTATCTGCTCCTATATTTATCTTCCCAGGCTAGCTGGCAGGTGCATGTGGATGATCGTGTAAGGTTTTCCATTCTTTCAGTCCCATATAGCTGAACAGTAATTGCTTGCTCCTTGTCCTAATCAGCTGTAAAACTCTGCAGATGAAGTCACTAGAACCCTCCTTGCTCTGGCACTGTGAACCTCAGTTAATCCCCCTCTCTGATTGGTTTCCCCTCCTGCCTTTTGTCTGCTTTGTCTGTAAGGGGGACTGTCTCTCACGATGTGTTTGGATCATACCTGAAACAATGGGGCCTCTAGACAAATAGTACATTAAAAGATCATCTGCTCTGTCCTCTCCCACTTACGTCTTTGGTTGCCTTCTGGGCACCTCTCCATACGGTTACAGAAGAGGGTCTCCTCTTTTTTAAAAAGGATTTGTTAGGTAGAGGGCCCTGGCTGGCTGGCAAGGAGGGATTCATCCAAATTCGGAGACAGTCCCCAAGGGGGCAGCTAGTCATGCTTCCTCTCTTAGGGAGCTGCTCACTGGCAAGTAAATGCTGCTGTTACAGCCCACTAGAGTGTCGTGATGGTTTTATCAATAGGGGGCTGGCAGATGCTGTTTGATCTGTGGGAGCCTCACTTGCCTTGGAAGCTGTATATGGCCTCCAGAGATGAGGAATCACACGCAGCAGATGGGCGTCTGGGAGAGCAGATATTAAAAGTCTCTCTAGCTACAGAGACTCCAGAGAAGAGTTTTCCGTAAAATACAATTAATTAGCTCACTACACTGTCCTGCGCGCCAAGCTCGTGGCAGCTGCTGCTAACAAACTCTCCCTACACATGGGGATTTCATCCACTGGATCTAAGCAGGAGGGGGTGGAAAATGTCAGTGCTGCCTGGTGAGCTGGGAGGCAGCTCCCCAGCTGGAGCTGAGCTCTGCTTTTTTGCTGCTGAGTTTCATTCCCATCCATCCCGATTCCCCGTGCCTTTCCTGCCCCCGAGACACGCAGAGCCCCTGGAATGCGGCTTGGTGCATGAACTTGCTGGGCCTGGGCTGCAGTGCGAAAGCATGCAATGAATGCTGAGTTTAAGCGACTGCTTCCCTCTGACTAATGCAGCTGCCACTTCATGTCAGCTGCTCTCTACAGGATGTCTGTATCCATGGACTATCACTCCCCATTCAGCCTCATCCGAAGCACTTAAGGCTGTAGCCAGGAGGTTCGCATGCATCAGTGAGGGGAAATTGCCTTATGTTTTCAGTGCGCCAGCACCTGTTCCGGGGCTGGGCAAGCATCACATGTCCGGGTGAGAGGCCGGGTGATCCACTGCCTGTCTGAACTCTCCAAACTACACAGATCCCCAGAACTGGAAGAGGACTGTCACAAGATCAGGCTCTCTCTGGGAGTCTTGCTCCCTTTGTTTTTAGTCCCTGTTCAAACTCACAAGCTGGTGCAGCTTTGGTCTAGTGGATTGAGGCTGGAGACCCGTGTTCTGTTCCCTTCGCTGCCCTGAATGCCTGGGACAACTCAAGACAAGTTGCTTGCCTTCCTTGTACACTATGGCTGTGTCTAAACTACATGGCTCCATCGATGGAGCCATGTAGTTTAGACACAGCCATAGTGTACAAGGAAGGCAAGCAACTTGTCTTGAGTTGTCCCAGGCATTCAGGGCAGCGAAGGGAACAGAACACGGGTCTCCAGCCTCAATCCACTAGACCAAAGCTGCACCAGCTTGTGAGTTTGAACAGGGACTAAAAACAAAGGGAGCAAGACTCCCAGAGAGAGCCTGATCTTGTGACAGTCCTCTTCCAGTTCTGGGGATCTGTGTAGTTTGGAGAGTTCAGACAGGCAGTGGATCACCCGGCCTCTCACCCGGACATGTGATGCTTGCCCAGCCCCGGAACAGGTGCTGGCGGGCCGGGATTATTTAAATCGCGGCTTGATTTCCCTTTGCCAAAAAAACAAATCTACATGGCTCCGTCGACGGAGCCATGTAGTTGAGACGTACCCCTACTGTTTAAAAGGAGGGCAGTCATGCTCCCGCTCCTGGAAAGCAATTGGGGATGAGATGAATGAGAAGCTGGAGAACAAGGCAATGTCCTATTACTCTTGACACGAACTGAGCCAGAACCCAACCTAATGTCCCAATGGGATGCCAAGAGGCTCTGTGCTGCAGCAGGCACTGAGGCTGGCTCCGGG